TTTTCAGCTTAATGACGATTTCTAGCTCAAAAGCCGGTTCTTACCGAAAAACATGGCCCAACCTCTGAAATGGCTTCTAACTAGAAATTGAGCTATTTGATACTCCGATCACTGGTCTGGTTTTAAAATCATTGGTGTGAAGTATACAAGATATTTGTAAATTGTATACCCAATAAATAAAAGATATTAAGTAGATGAGTCCCTTGAAGCCATGAAACATCTTGAGTTATACTACTTCCGGTTCTAATTATAATAACTAGTTGATTTATTTGAGGAGATTAAAAAAATAAGTTAAGTTAGTTATTTGTAATAAATAAGTGTTGTCCTTTCTAAAATATTTTTACTAATTAAATTTATTGGCTATAACTACTATTATTAGAGGGACTACCTTGAAAAAAAAACATAAATATGAGAGATAAAATGGATTGGAGTCTTATAATTAAGACCAAAATAAAAGTCAAATGAGGTTTTATATTAATACTGAAATTCTTGAGTCCTTTTTAGAAGGTACACAGTGGGAGAGATTAATGATTTTTTCCCCCAATAAGTTCTTACATGAGGTATTTATTATATCTTTTTAATGTTGCTTCTGTTCAAAATGCAGTAGATTTTTTCTTATTTATCAATGCATATGGATTTAAATAAAATGAAGCTTAAAATTTTTTTCAATTATTTTTAAGACAATTTAATAATTCAATCACTTTTCATTAATTTCGAGTTTTAAAATGTCTTATAAAAAAATTAGAGAGAACATATTAATTTTTCAATCACCATAACATAATAAAATAATTATAAATCAAGATATGGTACTAAATGTATGATCTAATTCAAGAAATTAAAATTTTCAATGTTGCTTGCAGGAGTCATAATTTTCACGTAAAAAGCATAATAACGCTTAATAATGTCTTCTCGATCAGATTCCTTTCATAAAGTATTATATCGAGAGATTTTTTTTGACCTTTTTTTAAATAAATGGTCGAATGTGAGATATTTAGAGAGAAAAATTTTTTTGCCCTCTCTCTAAGTCATCTCGTTAAAAAACTTATAAGAGTGTACAATTTTATTTCTACTTTATTATTCTTAGACTTCTTAATTTATTTTTTTGGTAAAATAGACTTCTTAATCTTTACCCATTCCTTTATACTTTCTCAATTTCTAATATAAGAATTAGATAATTAATTTACAGATATTAAAAAATTAATTTTATTAGTTATTTATAACAAATTAAATGTATGTTGATTTTTCTAGAATACAATTTCTAATCATCCGTAGTATAACTAACATTGGCAAAAACTACATTAATACATTTGAGAGATAATTTAGACTGATATCTTATATTTAGGATTAAAATAAAGGAGAATTGTAATAAAGTCTCAAAAAAAGAATATAATTGCCTTCAAGTATCAATGACAACTTTTTTTTTTTTTTTTTGACCAGAGAAGTATCAATGACAACTGAGACCTTATAATGATAAGTTTCAAAATAAGAAATAACAACTCCTCACTTATCATTGGGATTTTTTGATAGTTATTTTTTTAATGAGATTTTATTATAATTCTTCCTTAAAATAGACTCATTAATTAGTTCTCATATTTGGTATCAGAACCAATACTAAATACAGTTGAAATTGAAAAATTAATAATATGAAAAAAAATTCTTCATTTTTATTAAATATGTAAAAAGTGAACCGCAAAAATAAGATCGAAATTAAGGAATGGAATGAATGGTGAGGGAGGTAGGGAAGTAGGCAGGTGGAGGCGTAGGAGTAGGGAGGGCGTAGGGGGAGGTGTAAAAGGATGGGTCATGGGCTACAAATTGGGCCAATCTCCCACAGTGTCGCCCTTTCCCCAGTCATCCTCCGCACTTTAGGTCGATAGTCAAACGTCCTCCCCACTTCTCCTATTCCAGTACTCTTCCCTTCCTGCCTCTGCTCCTTATCATTTCACGCTCTCTTGTCATTCTTTTTCCCACAGCTTTACTGTAGAAAGAGAGGGAGAGGCAAAAGTATACGATATACTTTATTCAATCAATCAAGTCTACCTACGAGGAGAAACATTATGGCTATTCATAGATCCCAAGAAAATAATAATAAGATGATAAAGATAATCAAATAATCTCAACCTAAATATCTCTCCCACCAATCCTTACGGTAAGAGTTATTTAGGGTGTGTTTGGATGAAACCAAACCGTGGTTTGGAAAAGTGATTTTGGAGAATAGATTCTGGGGAAAATAGATTCTGTGAAGAATAGATTTTGTAAAAAAGTGATTCTGAGAAGTGAGAGTGTTTGGATAGTTATTATCAGAAACACTTTTTATATATACAAATTACTAAAAAAAAGACATAAGTTAATATGATAATTACAGAAAAAATAGATTTTATGATATATTTTAATTTGAAGGAATAAAATTGTTAATAATATGTTTTTTTACCAACATAATTAATAATACATAAGATAATATAATTAATAAATAATTAATGTGTATATATATTATAAAATATAAGATTAAATATATTATAAAAAAATATGTTTATAAAAAAAATAACAAGATACATATCATATAGGCCCTCACACTCTCCCTTCTTTCTCCAAAAGCAAAAAAATTTTGCTTTTTCCAAAACCATGGTTTTGGATTTTGGAGGGGGTGTTTGGGTAGATTATTCCCCAAACCATGGTTTGGGTCCCCAAACCATGGTTTGGGGTGTCACCCAAACACACCCTTAATCTAATATCATAGATAAATAGTTTAAATATAGGTGTTCATGATGTCAAAAAGCCCGCAATGCCCACTTGACCCCATTGAAATTATGCTCAACTCAACCTTAACAAAGCAGCTTGAAAAATATTTGGGCATTTTTTGAGAATGTCTGGTAGGGCCAGACATCAGACATAGTATGCCTGCTTGCACATAGATTATATATATAATCATATTTAATATGTATATTCATTATATGTAATATAAATATTCAGTATAATTAATGTTTTAAGTCTTGAGTTGTTGACACATTTGATTATGGATTTTGTGTGAATACATATCAAGTTGTGTTCAATTATATAATTATAAGGAGATATGAAATGATAGATAAATAAGTCCATTTGTAGCATAGTGTTTATATTTCTTCTTTTAGAATATTTTTAAGTTATAGAACTATAAAATATATTTAAATTCCAAAATATTATTTATTGAGTTTGGCAATGAAAATTTTCACATAATGAAAACAACAAGATGTCACTACTTGGATGTGGAAGCCCATCCCAGCCCAACCCACTCACTCAAGATTACTCAGGCTTTCATCGAGTAGGGTCGGGTAGTCAACTGCAAAATATAACTCGTTCATCTTTTAGGTTGGGGATTAAGTAAGAGTTTGGCCCTATCCAACCTTATCCATGTAGAGCCCTAATTTTAAGAGAGATCATGCCATTTTTTTCAGAATTAATAACTTACTTAGATTCTTTAATTTAGCTAAAGTAATTAACTAATTTTAAGAACGGGAGGCGCACTAAATATCTAAAATAATCCTAATTGTATTTTATCCCATATTCCACCAATATCCATGGAGCATCGGCTTCATAAATAAGTCTAACTACTCTAACAACTCCAATTTATCAGATTCTGGTTATAATTTCCCTTTTTTTTTTAAACGAGCATCACTTCTAGCTAGTATTATATGAATATTATAATTAAACGTATATTTTGCACTTTCAAGTTGATATAGGCAACGATCATATATATATAACCCTAAAGTTGGCAAAAAGATATTATATATATATAACCCCCAAAGCATTACCATCCAATTTATTTTCTAATATGGAATGGAGGAAAATATGTTACGTTCAGAATCCTTCGAACAGATATTGTTATATGTTTTGCAATGCAAATCCTCTGATATATCTGATTATTAACGGCAATAATCATGTAGCCCAGCCCAGACAGGGCGCGCACCTAACCTTTAATTAAGAAAAAGACAACACAGATAATCCATAGATTACTAGGGCACTACAGGCCTTATAAAACCACACATATTTGAAAATGTTTTAACAGAATCTGAGCTTTCACTTCTTAAGCTAGCAATCATGCTCTATCTATAAGCTTGTTAATTATTATTTAAAAATTTATTGTGATACTGAATTTATTTTTTTTGTGGTCAATGTGGAGGATAGTTATTATGTATATTCGATCGACCTCGAAAAGGATTTAACAGGATCGTTTCTGGTGTTGTTGAACTCATCCATATTAAAATTTTCCTGTTTCTGAATGTTCAATATCTAGACTGCATTAAGCTGTAATTAATAAATAAATGGTGGGCAATATAGAGTTGCTGCCAATCACCTTGTAACCTAACGGTATAGAAGTTTTCTTGTAAGTTAAGGAGAATTAAGGTTTTGAATTTTGCTCTGTAACCTCAAAGATGTCAGTATCTATATTTTAAAGTAAAAACAAAAGAGTTTCTTTGTTAATTAATTGAATTGAATATATGAATATTATCGTCAACACCATATCCAGGGGTTCGTCTTACACAGCTCAATAATGCAAAAATCTATGTCAGATCGCAGGTCTTGAAAACAAAATTAGCTAAAAGAACACAGTTTGCACAAGTAATACTCTAAAGGGCATGCATGTGACATTGATTCGCTATTTGCTTCTTCACTCTCTCTCTCTCTATCATTATTGTGTTTAATCAGCTGGCCAGTTGGCCTTCTTAATATGATACACTCATTACATGCGAGTGCGTTTGTAGCATCATGTAGTATAGGTTATTTAATATTACCTTCCGTTCTAATCATAAGACTTTATTTATAACCTACAAATAAGATTTTATAATTAGTACCGGAGGTATTACTATATATGTTTGTAAATAGCACTCGATCGTACAGATACCGATGAAATTGCGTTGATATATGCATAAGACTTCATTCTTCGGTATAACTTTTGTTCTTGGCTTTTCTTTAATAATACACGACTCACGAAATCCACCCCCCGGGGGGGGGGGGAGAAGAAGTTGGAAGAACCTAAACACAGGCAGATATATATACGACTAATTAATGGCTTCCGAATAATAAAGCCTTGATTTACTTAATATTGTACATATCTTTGCTCTATGTGCATCGCCATTAAAAAGTCTTTTCTCCTTCACTGATCTGCCTAGTTTTGCCCAGAGAAGAAAAGAAAAACAAGGGCAATACATTATAACTTTATATATAATTATACGAATATAAAGGAGTATATATAACTATATATATAGCGAGTAAATTTAGGAACATTTCATGAGCTGGGAAGTGGCGAGAAGACAGCGCATTGCTTGAACCTGAGATCGGAGGGATTGAATATAATCTAGGGTTTCTTCAATCAAGGACACATCATCGTCCATAAGATCGCCACCTGGAACAAGCCTCTTTAGCATTTCTGTTCTCTTTTGGACCAGCCTCCTTGCAATAGAATCCGCCATCACTACTTTCTTCACTCTACTACGAACTGTACGGCGCCTTCTCTTCATGATCTTCCTGGTTCTATTAAGCATCCTCTTGTTCTTAAGCTGAGAAAATGAAGAAGAAGAAGAAGAAGAAGAAGTGAAAGCCTTTCTTAGCCTTAAGCACTGCGAGGAGCCTATTACGTGCTCCGTCAGGACTTTGCTGTTATGGTCTCTGGAAGCAATATTGGCAATGAGGGCTCGGCTCCAACACTTGCTTTCAGTTCTGGTGGAAGCCATGGCTAAATCTGCTGACACTTTTATGGCCTTCTTCCTCTCCAACAAGCTCATGTTCTTCTTAAGGGACGTGAATTTTCCCATACCCTCCATCCATTTCTGGAGAAATTCTAGCTTCTCTGACCTGGGATTTTGCATTCTGTGAAAAAAGTTTCAAAATTTGGCATCAGCGTAATGGAGGCTAACAGATGGAACTCATGACTAGGGCGTTTAGGTAAAGAAGCTTGCAAATCAACGAAAGCATAATGCTTACCTCTTGTCCAAAATTGTCTGTTAACTGCACAGTAGAAGGATTCTCAAGAAATTAAAAATGAAATAATGTATGCGTTTTGCTGTGCGACGAAGTGTTATGGATCCAAGAAGGTAAAATACAGGAAGAGAGAGGGGGGAGAGAGGAGAATGAGAAGAAGAATGAGGATGAAGGGAATTATTTATGTGGTCGAAGGAAGTGAAGTGGTGGGGCGTAGGGAGAAAGACAGAGCACATGGTGGCACATGCAGGACCTGGCCCACACAACTTAAAACTGAAGAAGAAATATGAATTATACGACAAATTCAAATTGTTTTAATCTCGCCTTTATCCGTTTAAAAGGAAAAAATGATACAAAATAATAATAGTCTTATGTCTGAGATTTATTTTACCTTTCGCACATATAATCTGTTTTTTTTTTTATCCTCCTCTAGCCAATTATACTATATATATACAGTGATTAACTAAATTAAGAATTTTGAATTGACATAGGCAAGAACTCTCAGTGCTAATAAGTATTTGAGCTTTTATTTAAGACATCAATAATTTTAAGAAGCCATGACCATTAGTTGATTACTATAATACAAGTTGTGTTATCTATTAACGGTTTAAGGTGATAATAATTTAATACTCTAAGACGATATCATTATCCAGAACTAATATATTGGCTAAAAATTAACAACATGTTGCACCGTTACATAAAAGAGAATCGACATGATGAAAAAGGAGCACTACAAAAAAATTGACTTTCAGCGACGACAAAAGTCACCGCTGAAAGTTTTCAGCGGCGACAAGTCGTCGCTGAAAAGTCGTTGCCGTAGCAGCTGTGGTTGAAAACTTTCAGTGGCGACTAAAAAAGTTGTCACTGAAACATACTTTCAGTGGCGACTTTTAGAAGTTTCAGCGGCAACATTTGTTGCCGCTGAAAGACACTTTTGGCGGTGACATTCTTGTCGCCGTCAAAAGTGTTTTCAGCGGCGACTTTTTTGTTGCCGCTGAAAGTAATGCCTAAGAAGAATTGGCTTCACCAACACCACGTCATCGTCGCCGGCCACCACATCATCGTCACCGGGTGCCATGTCATCGTCGCCGGCCGCCACATCATCATCGTCGGTCGCCACGTCATCGTCATTGACGGCCACATCATCACCGCCGACCGCCACGTCATTGCCACATCACTCCTTCTCGTCACGTCATCGTTCAAATATTTTCACCTTAAATGTGTCTTCTTCAAGGTTCGAACTTGTGACCGCCTCCTTTGGTGTCCAATCTTCTTGTTGCTGAGCCAGATTGAATTTGTTTATTAATATTGTAAAATAAAATATATATATATTATTATTTTACACTTTTAGCGGCGACAAAAGAAGTCGTCGCTGAAGGTCCACTTTCAGCGGCGACACTTTTGTCGCCGCTGAAAGTCTTAGTTTCAGTAGCGAACTTTCAACGGCGACAAAAAAAGTCGCCACTAAAAGTCTATTTTTAGCGGCGACAAAAAATGTCGCCACTGAAGGTCCACTTTCAGTGGCAACACTTTTGTCGCCGCTGAAAGTCTTAATTTCAGCAGCGAACTTTCAGCGGCGACAAAAAAAGTTGCCACTGAAACTAAGACTTTCAGCGGTGACTTTTTTTGTCACCGCCGAAAGTCGTCGCCTAAAGTCTGTTTTTTTGTAGTGGAGGTAGTGACTAGCTATTTATACGGTCATATCAATACACTGAATAATTTTTTCAAGTTTAAATACAGAGACACATGTGAAGTTAATTAATGTAATGGAAACCTAACATTGGCATCTTGTTTTGAATGCAAACAAAGCACACTAAATAAGACTCTCTTGAAAACAATGGGGCTATATGGCCCACTATTGGAACTCCAATTAATAAGGGCAGATTGTCCCTTAACCCGCGGATAAATTTGTCCACTCATCGATCATACGCATACACTACACATTTCAACCAGTCAATGTATTTGAAAAGATCATTTTTTAACACCCATAGATCAACTACATATACCAACCATCATCTATATAAATTATAGTAAATCTCACAGTTCATCAGTTAGGAACAGTATTTTATCTTAAGTTTTCGAAGCTCACTCTAGTATAATTATAATTACTGTACTTAGGTATCATATATATAAATACATATATATATTAGTATTCTCTTATGTGTCTTTGTAGTATGCTTTAACCAATTGTTCAACATTTCTCTCTTTCCAGTCTTGAGAGTATTGTGTCAGTTAAATATGCATCAATGCACTGGCTAAATGATATATCTTACTTGTAAATTAAAGCTCATTGATATAGTTTTGGTTAAAAAAAAATCATTGTAAGTAAAACTTAGAACATATTAATGTAAGCACTACCTTTAGTAGTGTTCAATATAAAAACTAGATAATTAACTTATAAATATTAAGAAAACTAATTAAATTAGTTATTTGTAACAAATTAAATGTTTTTTGTAGAATAAACCAAAATAACAAGAGGGGAGAGAATCATACTAGGTCAGGTTCAGATCGTACCGGCAAGATGAAAGAGGAGAAGAGATAACCGGAAAGCTCAATAATTGAGGTGAAAAAGAAGGGGTAAAAACACCTCCTATTTATAGAGTCAGGATGACCGCTAATTTAGGAAAGTGCAATTTCACCCATTTGTTGCCGGATAATATTTCAATTCACAATCGACAATTAATGCCTAAATAATTTCTCTTCAATTTTCAATCAAGTCCTCAATGCTTGATCAATCATTCCCTTTTAATAGTAATTGATTTTTTTTTATTAGAGAGATTCACCTCTCTTGGACCAAATAGTCCGGCCAATCAAGAGTGGACTCAGACTCATTGTCCAATAATTTTGATTTTTTTAAAACTGTTACCTTTAATTATATGCATTGGAATTATCCATTAATTAAAAATCCTCTTAATATATGCAATCAATAGTGATAATTTGGGTAAAAAAATTATAGATTTTAAAGGCAAAGTGGATTGATGTCTTATATTTATAATCAAATCATACCCTTTAGCTAGTTTTTATATTTAGGATTGGATCTAATAATAAATACACCGAATAAAGACATAAGAGAAATGTAGTTCAAGTTCATATGCCATCTCGCAGAACTTCATCAACTGAATAATGAGTTTGTTTCTTTATGAAACGCAAAGTAGCTGGAGTGATGTTGAAAAGTTATTACAGGATCATGGTAAGACATTTTTCGATCACATGATTAGGTTGAGGCATGTTTATAAAATATAAAACATCAACAAGACGTTTAGTAATTACGTGACGCGACATTGGCAATATATATATATAATTGATTTGATTGCTTGTTCGGCTTGATTGATAGGCACAAACAATGGTTTATGGCTTCACTTGAATTATGGCAAATTAGAAAATTCCATTATTCTTTTGTTACATTGAATTCGAGCGCCGTATGATTAAACTAAAGTGGCAACATAGCCGAATGAATTGGCAGGAAATACACGTTATTTTCTTGAAAACAATAAACTTTAGAATTTTCTATATAAGATCCAAATGGTGTTGGCAATCTTGTTCAAAGAAATTATAATTTAATTAACTGAAATGCACGCATGTGACCAATTGTTCTGATCAAATATATACTACTTCCGGTGCTTAATATAAGAAATAATTGATTAATTTAAGTATATTAAAAAAATTAGTTAAGTTAGTTATTTGTAATAAATGTATTATTTTTTTTAAAACACCATTGTTGATCATGTATATTAGATAGAACTACAACTTGATGAAATTTTTAACATGTGCAGCTAAGAAGGACTACCTCGAGAAAAATGGATAAATATGAGAGACAAAGTGGATCATGGTCTTATACTTAAAATAAAATTAAATCTTAACCTAACTCTTCTATTAAGGACCAAATGTAATATATAGCATGTTACGGACAGAAAGTTAACACAATCAAGCATATCCCCACAAAAGTATTTAACAATTCGCTCGCTATGTCCACGTACAACGTTGGAGCTATATAATACGTGCTGATAGGTAAAGTCTCAAGGCATGATAAAAATTAAAGCTTTTGTCTATACCAATAATATTTTTATAACTTTAGATATATAAATATTTATATATATATATATAGGAAGGATATAAATCTATAATATCACATGGAAAGTTACATTATTTACACGCATCTTAAACTGCGTATAAAATACAGGACTGTTTATTCAAAAGCAAAAAGGATTCGCGTAGACTTGTTTTGTTTTTGGAGGTATTCATTTATCAAGTTTTAAAATGGAATCTATCAATTTTGCTATAAACTTAATTAATTAAAAGGCAAGGTTAATGTTCCAATTTTTAATGGTAGAGGGGCTACTCTACATTGTTTCTTAGCTCTGTCGTATCTTTTTCAAGGTTGTGCGCATAAATGAGAAATGGGTTACGCCGCTGATTGTGGTACTGTAGTACAGCAATGTATGAAATTTTAAATTTAACTTTTCGTTGTCATGAGATACAACTTCTTGGTTTTTTTTTTTTTTTAAATTTCCCCCCGAGGGGATTACAATTTAAACTTTCATCCTAGCTTATTATAATTTTTTTTAAAAAAGAAAGTGTAATTGACATCAGTTTTGAAGAATAAAAATATTTTCACAGACTCTCAATCATCTTTTTTATTTATTTATTATGGTAGTATCTCGCCACTAATTTAAAACAAAATAATGATGGAAGCAATATAATATCTTATCAATGTATGCCAGTGTAATATGACAAATTAAAACACATTATTCGTAAGTCATTTATCTGACTTCATGTAATATATGAAAATTAAAAATGTTTTATTTGTAAGCAATACGTGAATAGTAATTTTATAATTTTTTATATTTCATCTGCATGGTTATGTTATAGTACAATGATAAAGATGAACATATATGACATAAACAATGTAAGATTTATTTATTTTATCACATGTTATTTTATTTTGTCTATATTTTATAACACCGCGTCCAAATATCTTTCTATTTGCATTAAATTTGATGTGATGCCACTATTTAGGACCTATAAATTTTGCTACGCGAGACTCCATTCCTTATTATAAATTTCAAATAATTGATTTACGGATGATAAATAATTAGTTAAAATTAGTTTAAAACAATAAATATGTTAGAAATATAATTTTT